CCCCGCCGCTGGTCGCGATTCCCACGTTGGGCAGCACGTCGAAGCCCATTGATCCCAGGAGGATATCGGCGACATAGAGGGGGAGCAGCTCCCACGTCTCCTGGTGGACGTTGACATAGTAGTCCAACCATGCTCCGGGAAGGATGTTCGATTGCCTCTTTCGCACGTAATTCCCTTCCGCTATGCTGAGCGTCTGCGTTTGTGGGTTGGTTCCTGCATTGCGAACCAGCGATACCCCCGATGGACATGGTTGGAGGCTCGGTGCGTACTGCTCTGCTGCAACGGCCAGAGCCGACGTAAGGCGTACATGGTGTCGGGAGGCGACAGAAAAGAGAGCGGCGAGACAGAATAGTGGGTGTCGCATCGCTGCCTTGCACTTGGGGGTCGATGAAGACGAGAGGGTCAGCGATATGTTGGGTCGAGCCAAGGCTCAATCCTGCAAGGACAGCCCAAGAGGTGACCTGCTATATATCCAGCCCGGGGAAGCCGTGGTGTCCTCTCCATTCATAGATCGCTTCGCACCGTATCGCATTGCAGCTCAGCGGCGCGGCGCATGATCTCTTGAAGAACGCGACCATGACGGGACAGTCAAAGTCAGGCGGATGACGAAAGAATATGCCGGCGACGGAACTCACCTTTTCCTGTGAACGCACCCCGCCGACGGACAGTGAGGCATGTGGTGGGAACCAAAGTTGCCGAATGGGTAGCGCCCGCCGCGATAATGCCAATGTGCCCGAGACCCGCGGATTGGACGCTCGAACAGACCATATGTCCCCGCGACCGCGCCGGCACCGGCACCACTTCGAGGTCTTGTTGACCATTCAAACATGCATACGCTTACAGTATGCAGAAACCCGTGCTTGTTAGTCTGGGAGGGACGGACTCGGATACGAAAACACCGAATGCGTATCCGCCACGACGGCACCTACAGATGGTGCTGCGCCTTCGAGCAAGCACCCTGCTCAATATAGAACGGACCTTGTGCCCACTCGGCGGCAAATGCTGCATGGCTCTACTAGTGTCACCATGGCTAGCGAGGTCCAGGTGGTCCGCAAAGCCCTCACGGTGCAGAAGTGAGGCATGAGCTAGCCCCACTCCATGCCCGGCTATCTTCAGCACGCTCTGGATTCCCATTGTGCGGGGCAAGGTTCGGGAAGACGGATTCTAAACGTGGTGGCCGCGAAGTGGGGAGCGGCGGCAAAGCGCCTTCGGGCGCAAAGCGTCTCTGCCGAGTGCCGTTTCGCACAGCAAAGGGCTTCCCGATCTCTGGATTAACGTTGCGGGGAACACTCAGGCACAAACTGGCAAACGCGCCTGGCAGGGAAGCGAGAGAACAACATGACGAATGCGCAGGCTGGTCGCTTGCTGGGTGTCCGAATCGGCTCATCGGGCTCACTGCGGATCCGGGCTCCCTCACTCGTGTCATCAAGCAGGATGGCCTCTGGGGCACATACAGGGAATGTCCAGGAACATGCCCCTGCGGTACGCACACAGACCACACCGAGCGATCAAGACCGGACTCGGATCGGGAGCGGACAATGGGTACGGGGCCAATACTCATATTGTTAGATTCGAACACACACCTGGGAAAAGATCACCAACTGTCGGCCTGGATGCCTGCCTGATTGCCTATCACTCCGCGCTCCCCGCACAACCCACGGGATCCTCTGCAAGCTCACAAGTTCTTTGCGAGAGGGCTGATCTGAGGCAGCCCCGGGAAGAACGAGGTCGGGATGGTCCTGATAGATCACGCCATACTCGTCAGCGACGACATATCCTAGGTCGCTATAAGATGCCCAAAGGCAGGCAAGCACTCACGGGGTCGGGATGGGAGCATTCGTCGCAAAGCCGTCGGTCAGGTCACCGGGCATCGTGGTCGGAGTCGTGTATCCCGCAGGGCGCGTCGCGCTCTGGGTGACGACGGCGTAGCTCGTGTGCGAGGACCCGCTGCGGAGACACGACAGGCCTGTCCCGTACGCACTCTCGCACTTGACGACCGCCTGGTCCGTCTGCGACCACATGTTCACGTTCGAGAGGGTCATGCCGTAGCATGGCGCGCCGTCAGCGCAAATGAACTGGATCGGGGGGCGCTGCACCCCGTTTGCAACGTTTCCGTCCCAGTTCTGGTCAGAAGAGCGGCATTAGCTTGAGGGTGAGAGAGAGGCGAAGCCTCAAGGGAATGCTGGGGTCATACCTGGAATGTGATGTTGGAGAGCTGGACACCCGCCCCACTGCCGGGGGACTGCGAGGACCAGTATTGGTTGACGTTGAGACCATAGGCAGTCCCGCGCGCGATGAAGTTCTGGAAGAGCACGTTGCGCACGTAACCTGATCCCATGTTGCTCTTGATCATGAACGCCTGGTTCCCGCCGTTGGTGTAGATGTTGCTGGAAAGTGAGAAGTCGAGCCCGCGCAGCCATCGATTAGGACACGCTCACAGGACGGAGCATGAGGGGCGTACTGACCGATACACGATGTCCTGGATAGCCGTCCCGTCAGACAGACTGCCGATCGCACTACCTCCGGACTGGTTGCACCAGACTGCGAAGCAATAGTGCGTTATTGCATTATTCCCTCGCAACACAAACAGGTGTACTCACTGCGCTCGACGAGGATGTTGTTCGAAGGAGACTACTGCTTAGTCAGCAATATAATAAGGGGATGCCGACGAAAGTGCGGACAAACCTTAACAGTCACACACTCGTCGCGATTCGTAACTTCGACATCGTGGATCCAATGGTTCGAGCCCCACACGTCGACCCCGTCCGATCCGCCGAGGTTCGCCCCTACAACTCACATTGTCAGCTCGCCGGCAAGACCGAGCATCCCGCCCATGTTCGCCCATGCGGTGCACTCATAAGAAGGGATGTATAGTCATGGGTACACACCTCGAATGGCCATGTTATACACTTCGCCGTTGGAGCCTTGTTGAATGACAAGGTGGAACTCCGGCGCTATACGATGCTCATCAGACGTCTCCGGTGTGAACGTGCCGCGTGTAGCACGGGGATACCGAGGTCACGACATACAGTCAACAAGGATGAGGTCGTGGAGAGACCAGTTCGTCGAGGTAACCATGCGAATGAGGCGGGGGCTAGAACGCGCTCGCGCAGCGGACGTGCAGAGAAAAGGAACGTATTCAAGGAAAGAGAGGTACGTCAGTAAGGATGTGCTTCTCGGAGATACCGTAAGAGCGTGGTTTACCCGGCGTTGCGGCATTGGTAGCCGGAGCCTTGGATCCCGCCAGCGCTGTTGGCAGAGTAGAACTCGAAGTCATTCGCGTTCTCGATCGCAATCATGTTGCCGCCAGTAGTCGCTGTGCGGTGTCGAAGGAAGGAAATGTGAGAAACGAACGGGATAATGAGGTGCGGGGAGCAAGGAGCGGTACTGACCTGTGCGTGTGATGAGTCCATCCAGACGGAAGGCCCATTTAGTGCCGCCGTTCAAAGTGACCCAAGTCTTCATATTGTAGTTTCCTGGCAATCGACGGAAATTGGGTCAGGGTCCGAAGCTATCTGTGAGACGCCTAATTGACAACGCACCAGCAGGAACATACAGAGTCGAGCCAGAGTGCTTCAACACGCAGTTCTGCGGACAGAGCCAATGAGTGCGGAGCTGGCCAGATAAAGCATGTTACGTACCGTGAAGGCGCTAGAGATGGCAGGACCAATATCGGCCGAGCCAATGCTCCCGCCGTAGTCGAGCACATTGCATATCGTGCTCTGCTTGGACGAGAGTGAGCTGGTGGGACCAACCGGTCCGGACAGCTGGGCGGAGGCAGCAGAGACCAGGAGCAGAGACGCGAGGAGAGACTTAAAGCCCATTGCGAATCCAAGCAACGCACAGAGGGAAGTCATCCATCCAGCCTGGTTTTATACCGCATCGCCTACCAGAAACCAAATCCAAGGGTCCAAGACAGAGTGAAGCCCCAAGACGCACACAGAAGAAATGTTGGAGGAAACGTCGGTTGAACCCACCAGGGCGCCTCCGACCCGCGCCCTACGTGACCGACACATCTCCGTCGCGTCGAGCAGCTGATACGCTATAAGGCTTTCGCAGCAGCAAGTAGAAGTCTTCTTGTTGTACACAAGGGCTTCCAGGCCGACTCTCGGAGCCGCAAGATGCTCCGGGACGCAGTATGACCGGAGACAGCCGGAGACCTAGGTTGCCAGGCGCGCGGGAGACATGACGACAGAAAGGAAGAAAGAATCCGCAACATTGGAGAGTACAGCCCAGAAGCGAGACACATGAGGTAGAGCGCCATGAGGAGTTGTGAAGGAGACGTTGTTCTGGAGCTTGTTCCTTGCCAGCTGGACGGACACGCAGCAAGGGAGGAGGGTTAGCATGGACCGAAGGCCCGTTGGGCCCGCCGGGAGAACGCGAAGCCTGTGGCTTGGCAAGCGTACATATGACCCTATGGCTCCGCCCATGTATAACGCATGCGGCCTTCGCATGCATTAATACCAATGCATCACGAACGCGAAAAAGCGGATCCCGCTACATGTGCAGGGTGGCGGTATAAGCAAACTGTTGAACAATACCGAGAGTACAAGTTGAGAGGATTGTAGTGCAGGTAAGCAGCAGCAGGAAAAAACAGGGTCATGCTATGGGCAGACCTACTGCTCCTCGGTGACAAGTCCAGCGATGAACTTGCGGGAGTTTGCAGGAGAATATCTCGGTCATGCCAACGTTAACGTTCAGCTCCGGCCCGGGTCCTAGAGTTTCCCGGCACGTATCGATGCGCGAGATACGAACACCGGCTATCCCCACGCATGGGCGCGGGTGTAGGCTGAGAAGGGTCGGACATTAACGAGTACAACTGAGGTGTAAGATACGTACGTGAGGAGGAGGAGGAGGTAGATTTGAACAGAGTGATCATGTTTCGGCGTTTCGTGGCGCGAGGAGCACGAGGCGACGGCCATTCATTAGCAAATTATTATGTTTCCGTGCATCCCAAGGGCGTATGCATCTAGTTATGAATGAGACCTTTGTCTTACATTGGCAGTGTAGCCAAGTGGTTACGGCGTCACGTTTAGGTTATTACAACATTTCCGTGATGGGTTTCCCGCGCGAGTTCGAATCTCGTCACTGTCAGTATCGGTTTCTTTTATTTTTGCAGGTGCTCGAACATTGGCCATTTGCAAAGTAGGATGATGGCATGCTGAATTGTCGGTGCAGCCCAAGCAGACCTTGCTATGCCATGGAAAGGCACCTGGCCAGAATCACTCAGTACATCATGGGGTATCTCGCGGTCGACGAGCCGTTCAAACTGTTGAATACTTATCACTTGTGCAATGCACGGAACAGTACTAGTACGAGCAGCAACGGAGAAAAAAAGGAGGATCATGATGAGCTTCAACCTAAGATGACTCAGTACGCGACGTACAGTGGAAAACAATGAGTACAAGCAGACGTCATGATCAAGAATGGGATATTGGCGTCTCGGAGATGCCTGTCTCCTCAACTCGAAATGCAACAGAGTAGTTTCCGGGCTAGTTGGGTGCTGTAACTTGTAAGTCTCGGAACACGGCACAGGGCACGCAAGTGTGCAATTCATTGGACTCTTTCTACGAACGACAGTGACAGAAAAGTCAAGGAATGGAACCCCTCTCAGACTCTAGTCGAGCTTTGCCTTTGCTCTGATGCTCATGGTTGTAGTCCTCGTCCTCGCCACGCGCCTCATTGCCGTCGCCACCGTGTCCCTGTTCGTCGTTGTCGTCGTTGTCATCCCCATCGCTGTAGACGTAGTCTTCTTCCTGTTCGTGCTCGACGCGATCAGGATCCCACTCATTGGCTACTCGGATCCGGACTGTCCCGTCGTCTGCGCCCGAAGCAAGAAGCTCCCCGTCAGCACTGAACATCACCAGCGTCGCCTTGTCGTCGTGCTCGGTGAACTTGGCCACTGAGAGTGACTTATTGAGGTTCCACAAGCGCACGGTGTTGTCCGACAGCGCCGCGGCAACGTACTTGCCGTCGGGCGAGAGCGACACGGAGAACGACACAGTATCGCCCGCGGTCAGCTGGGTATAGCACGTGCCCGTGTACGAGTCGCAGATCTTCACCATCGCATCGCTCGACGCGGTCATGACCCGCTTGCCGTCATCCGTGAACGCGACGCACCACACTTGTGCTCGATGTTCGTGGAGCCTGAGCAGGATCTGGCCTGTCTCGACGCTGCAGATGAGCGCGCTCGCGTCGTCCGAGCAGGTGACGATGCGCCTGTCCTCCATGTCGAAGTCGCACTGCCAGACGGGGGCCTTGTGGCCTTCGAGCGTCTTGTGCAGCGTGCCCTCCGCAACGTTCCACAGGATGCAGTTGTAGTCCGCGCCTCCGGACGCGAGCCAGCGGCCGTCGTGCGAGAATTTGACGAAGGTGATCAACGCGACGTGGCCATGGAGTTCAAACAGCTGCCCGTACGTCTCCCCGTCCCAGATCCGCACGCTCAGGTCGTCCGAGGCAGACGCGATCCGTTTGCCGTCTGCGGACCACTCCATGGCGCGGATCGCCTCCGTGTGACCTTGCAGCGTTGCGATTTGGTCCCCGGTATCGACGTTCCACACCTTGATAGTGGAGTCTGCGCTCGCAGATGCAAGCCGTTTGTCGTCGGGCGAGAATTGGAAGGACCAGACGACGTCGGTGTGGGCATCCCACCTCCGAATGTCGGTCTGGTTGGAGGCCCTCCAAAGCACGGCAGATCCGTCATCGGCGCCGGTGGCCAGGAGTTTGCTATCGTGAGAGAACATGAGAGCCGTGAGAGGACGTGGGTGGCCGACTACTGCTGGGTGCGCGGGTAGTACTGGGAGTTTGGCTTGTCTACGCAGTTCAGCCTCTTCCGGTGTCAATCCTGTGTTGTCGTCTTTCGCATCTGTAACAGGCGGGCCGGACGGGAGGGGTCCGGCCGGGGGCGTCGCTAGCTGGCCTAGGGACACTGGATCTTGAGCCAATCCAACCATTGGCTGTTCTTGGCCCGGCTGCGACAAGACTATCCTTCCTACGACAGATCCCGTCTCCCCCAGTACATTCAAATTGGTGTAAGCTTCGACATCGATAGTCCCGGCTAAGTCGGCATTAGCGAAGGAACCATTCAGGACTGATAGATCGTGGGATGGGTATACCTCCGTTCTCATCAATGTCGATGGCGGGTTTCATTTCGTTGATTGCTACTTGCACATCTTCCGGGAACGCTTCCTGCGGCGTCATGAAGCAGACGAGTGAGTGTGGATGACAACGGTGGTGAGAACGGGAGTAATCATACACGAAAGAGATCGTACAAATCAGTATCGGACGCAAATGCGACTTCCGCCGACGAGTTCTTCGGAATGAATGACCAGACTCAGCGATATCGTATAACGTTAGGGCAGCAACTCACCTCCAGGATGTAGTCTAGGAGGAAGTCGACGGGATCGTATGGCTGTGGGGGGACGTTACATGGAGAATCTGATCTTGACAACATGACTGACTCGCCTTCCTGTCTGGCATCTCTCCTTCGACGTCTGAATCGGACCCCGACGAAGCAGTCTCTGTCGCAGCAGCAACAGCGCCGCTGTCAGCGTCGTCCTGATCTCCAGGAGGGATATCCTGAGGTTCCGCTGCCGCTTGGATGATCTTGGGCTTCCATAGCAGGCGTTTCTTCGCCTTGTAGTAGTTGATGAATATGCATTGGTCGCGCTTTGGAGGTGGCCGCGGAGAACCACTCTCCTGTGACCCCGAAGCTAATTGCAAGGGAGACGCATCACCGCCCGATACCGTAGGACCGAAGTTGTACTCCAAACGAGTGGCATCTTCGGTACTGAGAGAGATCGACATGTTCAGTCCTGAGTTAACGACCTGCGCCTGTAACGAGCCTTCTATGCTCTTAGCGTTCCCCTGGAACGCGGCGCATGCCCACTTGGACGTCTTGACGGTCCCATGGACGAAGTAGAATTGGTCCACATTGAGCATCATACCGTGTTCGTCGTTGGCGAACGCCAACCAATGGTCAAGGTTGTCACGCATGTACCGAACGATCGCGCGCTTGCTCACCAGCTTCATACACACCGCTGGGGGTGTATGAAGGAGGAATGCGCCGGTGTTCTCGGAAGACGTGAACTTCAAGCCTCCTCCGGCGGTTATCATGCCGTCGGGGCTGTTCACGTTCAGTTGTCGGCGTGCGTGATCAAGGAGGGCAGGGGAGCGTACCTGGCCGCGTTCAAGTCAGCTGTGATATTGCCGTGCTTCACCGTCTTGCTGGAGAAGAGGTTATTTTGTATCTCCCATGGCCCTTGTATCATCGCTTTCGGGGGATTCAAAGGCTCGAAAAAGCGTGGTACACCATGCTTCTGGTACGGGTCGTCGGCGGGTTTCATGGCGTTGAACAGTAACCACAGCTTTCCCGAGTCGAGGCGGCCGACGGTGCCAATCTCAATTTCATATCTGTGGTTCTCTGGCTCCGCATCCCAGAGAGGATATCCGCGCTGAACGACGAGCAGCTGGCGACTGTACACCTCGTAGAGGGGAGGGGGAAGTGACGGCATCGCAGTGGGTGAGAAGTGAGGATCTTACGGAGCGAGCGTAGAGGCCCATCGAACGCTCATGCGGCGTCCTTGTCGAGGATGTGTATTTGGGTCATGCGAACCCTATCGATCATCGTCGCACCGCCGAGGAAGCATCACCGTGAGAGTCAGTCGATGGTCAACCGGTCATAAACTACGACTGGAACAGAGCGACAGGCACCCGGCTTTCTTGCCACATATATTAGCAAAAATCGTATAATACTCGACAGTGCGCACATACATTGAAAAGCTCCCCAGTCGCTCTTGAATATGGTGCGATCATCACCGTGACGGTCGTGCAATTCATCTGTGAGAACACAGCCCCATCCGAGTCGGCTGTATAAACTTAGCAACGAGGCCTGCTTGGCGCGTGTTGGGGATAGTACAAGATCACCCATACACTTGAGGTCTGGTGGAAGAACTATATAGCTAGAGGAGGAGGAGAGTTGCTCAGAGCTCTTCGTGCTGCAACTCGCAGACTCTGGGTCGCACCGTGGGAATATAGGTCGGGCGCTAATACACTGCTTATACGAGGTTAAACTTCTTACCGCCACTGCGTAGAGTCCGTCCTGAGCGCCTGGATGTCTCCCCGCTGAGCATCCTCAATGTGAGCATCGACCAGCTTCTAGACGTTGTTTTATATCTACACGCTGGCTAGATATTCGCGTAGCATATCATACCAGATCATCATCATAGGTTAGTACGAGTTCACAGGCTCCATCCGAATAGAGCATTAGCATGCATCTGTATGTCTGACTCTTGATGCACACAGGTCCGTCACACTATCTCTTGCGAGGACGTATGCAACATAACAAGCTTGCCGCCAATCTTTCCGATGCAATGCTTACATCTACGCGGTAAGCCATGTTCACCTTACTGTGTAAGTACAGCCTACAACGATGGCGTCCACCGAAGCTCCATCCTTGCAGGGGATTGGCCAAGCATCAATGGCAGACAGAACAATATCAACTTATCACAGATGAGATACGTATACACGGGATAGATGATGCCGTCAGGGAAGTATGGTGACCATGAACGACCGACTCTAAGCATACCCCACCGCAGCCCGACTCCATCCCAACCTCCGGATCCTCCCCTCGCCGTTCTTGCGCTCCGAACTGCGTACTGCGAGGCGAGCGACTGGAGCTCAGCGGGATGGACGCTTAGGCATAGCCCGGCACCGTGGTGGTGATGACCTCCTCAGTGGTGATCGTAGTCGTGATGAACTCCTCCCTAACCAACGTCGTCGGCACGACAGTGATCGTGCTCACGACCGTGCCCGACTTGGTGACATGGGTGCCGATGGTCTCGGTGACGAAGGTGGTGATGAACTCGGTTTCGATGGTGGGGACGACGACGTCGGTGGTGATGACGGTGGTGACCACGTCTTCAGCCGGGGCGGCAGCGCCTGCAACACGAAAGTCAGCACTGGCAGACAGTCTAGGAAGCCCACGGTGGATAACACATACCCTGAGCGACGGCGAAGGCGGCAAGAACGAAGGCAAGAAGGTGCATCATGCTGTCTGCGGGGATGAAGCTAAGACAAGGGGTTGTAGCGGTTGT